GGGAGATCACTTCGCCCACTGCCTCATCGCCTTTGAAAATGTCCACCGCAGTTGTGGACGAAACGTCAGGAAGAAATTCCCATAGACCACGGCTTTAAAGCTCGGAAAACATTTCCAAATGTAATCTGACCGGCCGTTAAAGCCTTCATAGTCTGATAAAACACCTGAAAACTGAAACAGCTATCAAAGACATGATACTAAGGCCAACTGCACCGTCTTCATCATAAGCGTCACTTAGCCCGTCACAATGCCACTTATCGACTTATATACTTAAGCGACACTTAAAACTAATCTGCTGCACCGTCCAACTTTATCATCCGCTTAACTAAGTTTCACCAAGTTTAGGGATTTTTGATAATTTTAGGTGAATTCAAAAATTCGTTTTTGGTTATGTATATATTTTTAACCCGTCCAACCGGCCACGCTTGCGTATAGGTCCTACTTATGGCTAACCCAAACTGTGAGTACGGTTTAGGCTAAGTGCCAGTTAGACTGGCTTAAGTGGCGCTTAAACTGCGGTGCAGTCACCTTAAATTATTAGGTTTCCCTTAACTCCTAAGCCGTAGCGGTGCAGTTGGCCCTAAAACTAACAGTTAGTTTTAGTAACATGTATCAAAGAGAACGAAAAGAGGCAAATGCAAAAATAAGGAATTTAAAAGAAAACTACTATTGGGAAAAGTTTACAAGAGGAATGGAAAGAGCCAAAGAAAAATATGGAGAATGCTGAGAATAAACAAGCCAGAAGTCAAAGATAACAGACGAACCAAAAAAAATAACCACAGAACAGTGGGAAACGCACTTGAGAAATCTATAAAAGGAAGGGGAAGAGGAAGATATGGAACAGCCATAAATGGATCATGAAGAAAACGATATAGAATTAACAAATGACACGATTAAAAAACACCTTAATATCTCATAAAAATAGAAAAAGCCCCGGACCAGACGATATCACTAACGAGATCCTTAAAAATTACGAAATGAAATAATGACTCTTTTTTAAAATATCGTAGAAGAAGATAAAATACCAAATGAATGAAAGAACAGTATAACAATACCCATTTTTAAAAAGGGACAGAAAGCACTCCCAGAACACTATCGTGGAATGTGGAATAACCCTACTTTTTAGCGCATTAAAGCATAAGTGAAGACTATTCTGGGGTAAATCGCCAAAAACACAAGAATAAGAGAAGAACAACAAGGCTTCCAAAAACACACATCCACAATAGATGCAATATTCATAGTCAAGCAAATATCTGAAAAATCCCTAGAATTCAATAAACCCCCATACTAGTGTTTCATCGATATTACGCTTTTGAAAAAGTACGCTTAAAAGATATTCTGGAAATAACTAGATCGAAAGCGCTGAACCACAGTCTGTTTAATGCAATACACGACATCCAATGTGGAACAAAAATCAGAGTAGGTCACACTCAGGCCCTTCATATTTAATATGATAATGGATGAACTAAGAAAAAGTCTTCCCAGAACGGGTGGATACAAAATGGGAAGTACCAGTGATCTACAGAGATAACGAGCCATGGAAGTCTACCTCTCGAACTGAGAGAGCAAACAATAAAAGCGCTTCGAATTTCGAGATGTTTGAGAGAAACTGTTTGGAAAAACAAATACCTAAATACGGAAAGCAAAGTCAAGATATATAAAACGGCAGTAAGACCTATAATAACATACTCAGCAGAAACAAGACCAGAACAAGCAGAACTCTACAAATGATGAGAACAGTTGAAATGAGAACCTTAAGGAGCATACAAGGCAAAACTCTATACGATAGATTACGAAGTGAGGACATCAGAATGCAATGTGGAATTGGACAGGACGAAGACGAAGATTCTCGAACAAACATTCAGAAAGAATGGAGAACAACAGACTCGTCCAAAGCGCAAAAATTAACAATCAAGTGGGAAGGAGACCACAGGGAAAACCACCAAAGCGCTGAAGAGAATAGTGGACCTCATCCACGGGGGGGGGCGTGTTGGCAATGAACAGGCAATAACCTGCTAATATGAATCCATATTAGAAGGAAAGAAGAAGAAGAACTTGTTAATATGTTCTATTATACGTTAAACTACCTAGGAATTGTTTCAAATGATTTTTTCAGCATTTTTAATTTTATTGTTTAGTATACTAGTGATTTAATCCACCCCAAGAGGAAATATTCCAGTGGATTTAATTCTGGTGATCTCAGCGGCTAAGCATGAGGTCCTCCTCTGAAAATACAACTATCACTATCACAATGATCCAAGAAATTGCGCACATGGCGATTTAAATGGGCGGGGATCCATGCTACAAAAACTAATGTTAAAAATGTAAAAGATCTGTTTGCAGAAACGGTTTAGTATCGGATTAAACCATATGGATTAATTTATCTTAGTTTGATCTCCTGAACCCGTTTCCAAAATATTTCCCTTTCCTCCCGACACACCCTGTATCTACCTTGCCAACATTTTAAATTTTAGAAAGTTGATGTAAGTCTAATTAGGGGAAGAGAGCTCTCTAGACTCTTTATCGAAAAATATTTAACAATTATTCGGAAATTTTCAACCGCTTCCCAGATCTAGGCGTTCATGCATGGACGGCTCTTATCAATTTGTAGATTTTACTCCTAGTAGGCACTTTAATGGTAAGGAATTTTTAATCAACCCTAATAATTCTAAACGCTGTATCGAAATGATCCCAATGCTTATTCAAATTACACTAACAGTTTCCAAAATATGAGCTTGAAAACTCTATCGTAACCGTAAATTTTGACAATTTTGCTTCAATTGTTTAGAAAGCCCATATTCAGATAGTTTTAATTGTTTACGAGATAAATTAAGTACGGTACAGGAATTTATAATTCAAGCCCATCTCGTTTGAGCAAAAAAACTGATAACTTTTTCTAAATTTAGCTTTAAAATTTTAACATGAATAAATAAGTTAACTTTTTATTTGATTTGGTTAAGTTTTGTAGTAAAATTCAACTATTTCTTTCAATTGCAACAGTTATTAGTATGAGTCTAAAATTCAAGAAGAACCAAAGCAGTTTATCACAAAACAATAAATATATACCCGTATTGAGAAAATAGTAGCAAGATTCATTGATGAGAGACAGAATATTCGTTAATTTAATGATAAAGCTGTTAGTGTCCGTAAATTAATGAAAGGGACTTTTTAAGTGACTTAAGCGGACACATAATTTTTGGAATCAGGAAAAATTTACTGCTTTCGACGGCCTCTAAAAAATCCTTTCAATCGTTTTTTATTTGTTAATCTTGGGTCGAGTGAACTCAGGCGAATCGCAATCCATGAAGGAAAACAAATAATGCTTCTGTTATTTGTTATATGAGTCGATCTACAAAAAGAATAGTGAAAAGTGCATGCTGAGCTTTTAGTATAAAGTAAATAATGAGCAAAGGACCTATTGATTATTGCTGTTGGTCAATTTAACTGCACGTGTGTGGCAATTAATGTGCCATTTAAGTACGTTTAAAATGATCTTCACCAGGGACAATTTGAAATTGATGGTCTGTTCAACTTTCTAAATAAAAGTAGTATGTGTCGGATATGACAACGTTTATTGAACGTTTATTGAATACATTTTATAGCTCTATTGGTTAAATGACTGTTCAATTCCGTTGCAAAACACCGATATTTTTTAAATAATGATTTACAAAAGACAAAAGCCGTAACTATTTTAGGTATATCAACTGCGCCTTAGACCTCAGCCGGCGAAAACCACAACTAATTAATTTTTTTCAACTAAAAGAAGAGCTGGAAAGCGTGTATAATGTTGAAAAGTAACTTGTTTATTAACTCTTAAATTTTAGTTTATTAAATCAATTTCTTTTAGATTAGTTCAGAGCAAGGTGGAACTTAAAATGTGTGAGGATAAATCCTTGCAAACGGTGCATCAAGCTACAGAATCATTTGTTGATTCCACTTACAAGTGGAATATTTGGGACCTTAAGCGAGAAGCACTAACTCAAGTAAGTTCGCATGAAAGAAATTTAGAGTAAATATTTAAAATATCTTGTTCCAAGTTGAAGGCTCTTCGGCTTTTATAATATTGAATTTTCAGGAATTTTATTCTTATTGTAGGCAAATCTATTATCAGCAGTAACAGTTTCCACTCAAACAATTAAAACTAGTAGTAAGAATTCCGTACGAGCTCAAACATATAACAAGAAAATTGTTGATACGCAGACTTCGAAAGACAGATATACAACTATGCCGAAGAATTCAGTGTTCATTTATGGGTTAAGAGGTAAAAAAGATGACAAGCAGTTTAAAATCGATTTAACCAGGCCCATTGATGAGAGCTAATATTTACATTTTATAACGAATAATCAGAATTATCTGCTATTCTGTAATAGTAATTAATTAAATGAAATGTAATTGAACACGAATCCTTTTTTTCATTAAGAAATGGAATAAAAATCGTTTTAGGGACAACAACCGAAACTTTGTAACTAATTATCTGCATTGTAGCATTATTATCTGATTACTGTGTATTTTTCCTCAATTCGGTTGTAATGATTTAAATTTGGAAAATATTATTTACTCGGAGTTATTCAACCTATATTAAAATGTAATAATTCAAAATAATGTGTAAATTAGACTTATATATGGTGATTAAGCTTATAGTAACAATTATTACCGGATCTAAAATAGACTGATTTTTCATGCTTATTTAATTATTTATGTGATAATTATGCTTATTAATTTATGCGATGCTTGAGCAAATATCCGCATTATCAAAATCAAATCGGTTTCGATTTTTATTGGTTGTAATATCTAATGTTTTATCTGGATGTAAGAATAAAGATTTCGGGTATTTACGTATCCTAATTATTTCTTTTCTGTGTTTTCCTGCAATAAAACGAAAATCCACATCAAAAACCTTAGTAAAAATTGTAGATAAAAGGGGTTTTACAAATTATACAATAAATATTTTTTTAGCTTCAAGCATACTTTTAAATTATATGCATTTTACATTATAGGGTAACATATTTACGTTCAGAGAAACCAAGGGCGGATGATAATTTTCTAATTTAATAGACAATTTATCAAAATAAATACTTGGCAAACACCGACGCGAATGACACTCATTTGCTATCGGTTGAAAAACTTGGACGCTATGATGATTTGAAGGTCGAAAAGACGATTTTAAGAACGGAATTCTTTGAATTTTTACCTCGATTGACTCATTTTCAAAATACAACAGATTCGTCTATCAGATAAAACAATGAAAATGAGGCATAAAGGAATAGATGATAGATACAGAAGGATTACTTCAAAAATATTTTTTTAAAGAACTTCCAATATGTATTTTAGCTTAATCGATAGATGTTTATTTGAAGCTTTGCTTAAAAAGTCATGTATGTTCTCCCTGGAAAATACGTTGGATTTCTTGGACCTAAAGCCCACATTTTGTCGTTTGAGGAAATCTGGCAATATCAAAAATTACTTTTTTCTGGCCACCAACCCATGTGCTGCAGCACCAGTAGCCGTCGAATTTTATTTCGCCGAACCACCGGCGGGGTACAATCTAATATTAATGCCCCATCGGAGGATTTTTTTTTCGCCAACTAACAATCAGACTTAATCTTACAATTATTTATATTCGTGATAGTTGTTGACCCCATAGTAAAAGTAACAATATACTTACTTATTTTATTATTCTAGCAAGAAAATCACCTGCTTCTTAACTTGTCATTAAAGTAACCCTCGTATATTGGGGCCAAATATTTAATATTTTTACAAGTTGTTAATGATACTTAATCAGTAATTTAGGGCTTTTTTAATCTGAGAATTAAAAAGGTTTTGCTCAATAACAAGTGATTTCAGAGATCGAAACTGACGCGTTTCGCCAAAATTTATCAATAACTAGATCGCAGGTGTTATGAAAAAAAAACATCATTGTGCTTACAATATAATATACTGAGAATATAGTTTACAAAAAAATTAATATAATTTGCATCTACTAATTTTATTAACACATTAAACGCAGTACAATTCATAAATAATACTCAACAAAAAATATCATCTAATTCTATATCAAAATCTAAACAACCTAATCACGATTGGAAGTGGACGGTTCACATTCCAACGAATGAAAATCGCCAGTATTACAGGGAATACTTGGGATTTTTGAGCCTTGCTTCGAAAATCCCGTGTATTCTGGCTTGGTGGGATTTAGCGGCGGAGGCAAATGAATCGTAGGGGTTGACTCAATTTTATCAAGAAGTGTCTCCTGCGGGTGATTTACCGGCGGGTCCTCCAAAAATGGCAAAACAAAGTCATCTTTAGGTTTAACCACTTCTTTTTGAACAGAAATTTGCAATGGTACGCTCGATGGGATCAAGGGTTCTTGAGTTACAGGACAAGATAATCCAATGGGGCTGAAGGGATCAAGAGTGAAACTCGGTGTTGGAGAACATCTTTTTTCGGGAGTTAGGGCGTCAGCCATGCTGTTATCTGCACTGAAATCCGAATAATCTATGTCATAGTTCACTTTTGATAGACCAAGGAAACTGTTGTCATCTGGAGTTATGCCGTCCAAGCTTTGATTATCATTGAATGGACTAAGACGATCCATTCCGGGGGTGATAGACGAAAGTTCTTCTTGTGACGTCAATGTTATGCAATTAGTAATATCCAAGTTTAATTTATCTTTTTGTAAATTTTGAGCAGAGCTTTCTATTGCAAGCGCTACATTGGCCATCAGAGATCCAGTGCTGGGTTTAGACTCTGCCAGTGGAATGGGAAGTTTTCTTGGTTTAACTATGAAAGGTGTTCGTTCTAGGACCGACGAGACCTCGGTAGTAATTTTTTCCTACAGAAAGACTAATTCTGAGACTAAATCTTAATAAAAACTAAGTACCTACTTTGAGCAACTTCATGCTTTCCATTAAATTGGTTTTGTCCTCTTGGATCTTCAAGTTGCGATCTTTCAAGATTTTTAATTGCGCAAGATGTTCACACAGTTGATGCATACCTTGAGAACAATAATAATAACTTTAGCATATATTATTTTATTGTATTTAACTATAAAGGTTGTAGAGAAATAAACAGTTCATCAATTAAAAAGGATTCACTAATTTAAAGCACGGTTTCCAATTGATGCAAAAACACGGTTACGTTTAACTTTTCGCAAAAAATCTCTTTTTAAACAAAGAAGGAAATTCCTTATGAAGTTTGCTTATTAAATAATTAATTTTTGTATTCTGTTTCGTAAAAGGAAACCATATTGATAGACACTTATTACCATCTAGATATGTGTCCTAAACGAACAATGTCGTTAAGAAAAAAAAGTCGCTTTTGAACCTTCATGTTCTTTAATGTGCGATTCTAAGATACATTCTAAATGTCCTCTACAGAATCTGAATTTTTCAAAGGCCCACCTTTCGTAGTTTTCGCGTGACACACTTAAGACGCGCAATCTGTGGAAAAATGCGGATTTCTAAAACATTTAAAAAATCGATAAGCCGACCGGTTGAAGTGAAATTTTCTGTACGTGTTGGCTTAAATGTATTCTAGAGTGTAAAGTTTTCAAAGCAGTACCTTGTCTACTATCACTGTGGCATTTTAAAACAAAATAGCATGTACAATGCTGAATATCTGAGCTTATGGGGCAGAGTTCTTACCTATTTTAAACAATTTTGAAATTACTGCATAGATATGTGTTTTACTGTTTGTCTAAATTTGTTCCCTTAGGCGGTCAAACTTAAGTATTGTGATCTAGTAATTTATCACATTGCAACAAATTTAAAATACAAAACACTTAAAAAATTATGTTCTAAGTTATACATTAGTTGGGGTAGCATGCAGCAAAATATTTATTACAGAATCAAACAGTTATACTTTTAATGCGATAGTTTTACTTTAACCTGATTACCGTTAAACAGGGGAACTTCGCAGCACTTTTTTCATAACACAAATTATGTTCTGATTTAATTTTTTAAATTATTATTAATAATTTTTGTGCAAAAACAATGAATGCCGCCAGATTTTACAAAGATCCCAAAAATGTCAAAAATAAATTATTGCATCAACTCAAAAAAAAATGAGTTGATTCTAGCGACGAAATAAAAAGTTTTAGTAGTTTTTGTACCAATACACTCCAGAAGAATTTCATCCACAGAATTTACCACTTGAAAACGCGGATGAACTCGGTTGCTTCATCCAAATATGAATCTCAAATAGGAACAACTTCTCATCGAGTTTGATTAAAATCCATCAGTCTCCCGATAATTCAAAAACTCAATTTTGTTTTTAAATTTGTACATCAATAACAAACGAGCCAGACATTTTTAGCTCAGGTTAGGTGAGATCGAATATTGCAGTACCCGTTTGGTCATGTGCTTACGGGCCGGTATATTAATCCGTAAAACCGTATATAAAGTATTACATTTTTTTCTGCATGTTGTGATCTTTTAATATTATGTATAAATGATAAATGTCTAAAAGTTTACTTTAGTTTAACGATCTATTAATTTTCTAGATTCGTTTAATGTGTATCTGCAAAGTATACCGCATTATGGGTTGTATTTGATGTCATCATCGGTTGATGTCATCATCGGTTGTATTTGATGTTCTTTTCACCCAATAAACTGCCTCTAATGCAAGATTTGAGGCAGAATTTTTTTAAATTTTCCGTCACATCTTGTTACCTCAATCGACATTTTTAGTCGCTATTTTTTATTGCTTATTAAAACATCGCCCTAAACGAATTTAACAACAGCAATATTTGGTTTTAAATTGATACATACACTGAACTATAAAACATGTCGCTAAATTGAAACGTAAAAATGTCTTTGTAGATTATTATTTGTTAATTTACCAAAAAGAAATTATCAATCCCACTAAAATTTATCAACTTCAGTCATATCAAATAAACCATACCATATTTCATCCCCCTTTTCAAACCTATTCTAAATCTTTACTATTTTCTCATCAAGGTTCCATAATACAGTTTTTTATTAAACTTGATTTTCCATCCTATTTTTACACTTCAGCGATTTCATTAACAGCATCATCAAATCTTGAAAAGTATCCATCAACCACTATCACCTGATGTAGAGAAGTTTCTATAGCTTCTAGTTCAGATACGTCATTTTAATGATCTGATGAACATGAGACCTCTGTTACAAAGAACTTCATGAGGTCTCCTGCACCAATAACTTATTTTTCCATGTACGAGTTTTGAATTGGTTAGTTTCCTGTTTTCTTATCTCTAAATATTTTACGAGGGAGTTGTCAATTGTATAAGATTGGTAAAATTATTATCAGAACTGGAGTTTGTTGCATGCAGTAGCTTTAGCGATGGAGTTGCTTCACACGATTTTCAAAAAAATTTTATGATTTCTAAAAAAAAAATATAAAAATTTATGAAGAAAAAAAGAAAAATGTGAGGTGGCAATTAGCGTGATTTAAATGTTAAATTAACAATTGCTTTTACAGCCGTGGTGTAGTCACTCTTAAAGGTGCAAAGTAAACCCGTTTACCTTTCTTTCATATGCCCAAAAGTTCCGCCCAATTGTTTGGCAAAATTACAATTTTGCTCACAGCAGAGATTAGTAGATCTACTAATATCTGCTCCCAGCAAGTGACAAGCCGAGAAATTGTTGCAAGTTACACCGTAGATGCAAGAAACCCTCAGGTTGCGGCATTAGATTATAAAAACAATACGATACTTGGAATTGAGTATAAACAAACCACTTTTCTTTTCGAATCATGTTTCCTAAACATTCCGTATGGAAGGCTTTGTATAAGATCTAGGCTACTCCTCTAAAGGGTTAGAAATGTTTCGTTTCGATTATGAGTGTGTTTACTAATAATAGATGGTAAAGAGTAATGGACAGTAACGGGGCTACAGTGACCCTCTATGTAGAAAGCTACATAGATACCATAAGCAATCACCACCTTGCAAAGCTCACCAACTTTTTTAGAACTTTATGTGAGTGAAAACAAGATTCAACAGGAATCTGAAATCCGACGATTCCAGGGTGATATTACCTCTTGGCAACTAGGAATAAGATGAAATCAACGGTCGTAGGTCATAATAGTTGATGACACTCGAATCGAATCAAAATATCAAAATAAGCTTGAAGCGGTGCTTCCGAGTGATCTTTTTTCCTAGTGAATGTCCCTTTATAATTCAGCTGTTTGCTGTTTTAATTGTCATAGGCTCACTTTGCTGTTGGAGGCTTAAAACGCAAGTATTCACGTAGGTAAAAAAGTTCAGATAATAGTCCGCTGTATCGCCAAGTAAGACCGGACATAAAACTTTCGAACACGAACATTCTAGTCTTGTATAAACTTATGTGTACAAAAACCATATTATGTGTGTGCATAAAAGGAAACCACATGTATGCTTAGGCAATTATAATATCAAAGTAAATGATTTGAATTTAAATGTTAATGTTTTAAATCATCAATCAACAAAGGGTAAGGAATTAATTTGATGATATGTTACCTTCACAAGCCACCAACGCAGATTCCCATGCGCTGACTGTAACCACTTTGCCAGTCATGTAATCCTCAAATTCCTTCTCCGTCATATTCAACGATTCAGCGGTCAGATTTTCAATGAAGGAAACTGCACAACACTGAAAGGAAACACTTCCAGTTAAATTAATGTTTTGACCACTGAAGATATAAATGATCTTGCATTTATACACACTTAGTTTCTACACTTGACTATGGAACGTTTTAAGATCAAGTATTGAAAATATTAAGTGATTTAAAATCGGCATCAGTGCTTTTAAGGCGACTTCGAGACCTTACTATAAGCCTTAAAAAAGCCTATTTGAAAACATTTTTTACTTAATTTGACCAAGATATTAGGACTTGAAGCTGCGCTCTCAAATTTGCTAGTAAGCAATATTTTAAAATTGGTCAAATATCATATGGCAGACTAGTAATACAGCTAAAAATTACAGTTAAAACATTGCGACATTTGCTTTACTTTAACGCCAATTTTCTAATTGATAGAATTACAATTCTGCAAATTTTCTATGAAAAATCTCTATTGCTGCCAACAAACGTGTCAGTGGTGCAGCGCATTTATGGTTAGTTTTCAAATTGTGTTCTTCAAAACTTCAAATACATAACAATGTCGAATAAAGTTTGCCTGCCTTGGGCAGACTCTAAATAATTGATCTTCGATGTAATAGACGCGCAAATTTAAAGGTGTGCTGTTTATTGCAAGCAACTTAATTGTTCTGCAAAAGTAAAAGCTGCCAACGAACGTGAATGTGAAATACTCTCTTAAGCTTAATCTTAAGACGTACTCGTAATTTAGTCAGAACTCATAAGCAGCGATTAAAGATGCGGTTCGGTGGTGCGATCGGCGACTGCGACTCGGTGCTGCGTTTGGCCGCAGTCGCAGTCTCTGGTGTGGATTGTGTGATGCGTCTATAGCCGCAACAGATCAGCTCAAGAGATTAGTTCGTGAGATACTTTGAGTAAAAGTGCTCAAAAGATAGACGACATCGAACTGTTAACGCGAACTTTTATTGTTAGAAGAAGAGGAAAAAGAAGAACTAAATAAAAAAACAACTAGAAAAAAAAATGAGACGCATGCTATATTCCAAAGTCACCCAGACGAAGGATATTTCAATCTTCGGATAAATGACTGTTAGTTAGTTAGTTAGTTAAATTCAGTTAAGTTCCTAGTGTCAGTAGTAGTATACATTTTCGGTGGATAAATTCGCCGTAGAACACAGAATGAATATTTTATAAATTGTATTTTTTTTGGAATTTGAAAACTATAAGAGACTATTGCAGACAAGAGAACATTAAAAATCCAAAGGAGTTATTTTTTCTGATCTGCTCTCTTATTAGTAAACATATGGCAATTTTATTAGAAAATATTGTTTTTCTGCCTGAAATAATTGCGTTTTAGTAAAAATGTAATTTTATACAGATAAGGGCGGACACCATGGTTAGGCAAGAGAAATCGGTATTCATTTTAAAAACTACAATGAAGAAAACGTCGCTTGGGCACTCGAAACTATTCGACAAGACAGAAAAAGTTTAAGATAAACTGCTGAAAATTATGAAATTCTAAAATCCACTTTACACGATAAGAAAAAAGAATAAAAATGAAGAAACATGGCGGACAGTACCTAGTTTCACAAAAATAAGAAAGAATGCGTCTCTTACAAGGTGCTAAGACAGATTGGTGAAGGCGGGCACCCTTTATCTAAAAAAAATTAGGAGAGAATGAAAATTTGTTGCACTCCTAATTGATCCCAGACAACACCTTCAGATGAATGACTCCGGTTTTAAATAACTCTGTATTTAAAAAAATTTGGTAAGATCATCGATCGTCGTTTTCGCGAAAGAGACAGCGAAGTTAAAGTTTGAGAATTTCAAACACCGGAGTTAAAATTATTCTTTAAAAATACCCTGCTTCCTTTGGTTAGGTTACTTTAGATTAGTTAAGATTAATTTCAATTTGTTTGGACGTATTTCGTTGGAAGAATTAGTTTTTGTTAATCTGGGTTTGTTGCATTTTTCAGTTATTCGGAATGTAGCAGGGTTGAAAATGATGCAAATTACCTTAACTAAAAAATAATCAAAATTAATTCCTGGGTTTCAGTCATTTATTGTATTTATTTATCAATTAAAATACGACACGTTGACGGAAACCCAGGAATTAATTTTGATTTGGAATTGAAACACAGTCAGGAAAGTATATACACTAAAAAATAATTCAGAAAAATATTAGAAATAAGTTTTGTGCCATAACGTTCCATTCAATTTTTCAGTTTCAAGTTTTTCCCAACATAAATACAGTAATTTATACAACTTTCTCTAATAGCTTTTTAAATATTTCACTTGCATGAAAAAAATATTAAATAATGAAGAATTGTAAAAATCACATTTATCGTGTAGAGAGACAGTTGTTAATAAACACCGCAGAACAACAATAATTGTAATCATCACTTGCACGTCCAATTCAACTTACCAAGTTAGTAAAGTAATATCCTGCTTCGCCTTGCATAAGTTTCGAGTCCTTACAAAATCGGGTGACATAAAGAATATTGCTTTTCAACCTGGCCGGGTTCGCTTTTAGAACCACAAAAATTAAAGCGGGGAGAAACTCGTCTGCACTCACTGGCCCTCCTGAAACAAAAGAATATAACTTTTGCATCATTCATTGATATCATCATTAATTTGCTGCAAACATTGATTTTTTACTACAGATGGTACTTCAATTATAAATTTCAAAAAATAGATTAAATTAGTTAATGTAACAGACATGAATTTAGTCGGGAATTAATGACCGAATCAGAAATCATGTAAGATGTCCAAGTGTGCAAATCTCGAGGTTTGCCAACCCCAGACACCCCCAGGACCGGTTCCGAGCCTATTAGCTCTGGTCAGCTGAGTTATCGTGAAATTAGCGACCGCAAGAAAAACCTGCACTTAAAGGTTTCACTCAGTATATCTTACATTAGTTAATGTATTTATTCATTTTTGAAAAATAAGAAATTGCTAACATTGCAATATGTATCCCTTGTCATATAGATCAATAATAAATTGACCGAAAACGAGGAAGTGAGTAACACATGACTAAATAAGATGATGAGAGTTTATTTTTAACAGTGTGATTGAATTATAATACTCCACAAAACCCGGAACTAAACCAATGTTTGAATTTAGATTATTCGAGCAGCCACTTGTTCTTTGATTCCACTTTGATTGAATAGCTCTAGAGAATGTATTAAGTAGGCTTAAAGTTGCATTTTGCCAGCAAGGACATTACGATTTCAAGTGGTGTTTGTTCTACTCGTTCAAATAGATAATAAGTATGTTTGCCTTTTGCATAACGTTGACAGAAATAACGGCTACATTTAATGTTTTAGCAAGATATTAATTTATGTTTATAGAAGGATGACAATTAAAACACGCAATTTCTTAAGCATGATTGCGGAAATACAAATTTACCTTGGCAGTGCTGTAAAACTTCTACGACGCTTCGGCAACACTTCACAACACATTGCAGCTTTTCTTGTGGAGCGTTCACCGAGTCCATTCCTAGCAAATCGGTGATGGCAGTATAAACGAGATCTCGCACTTCCAGGCTCGTTTCACTGATGCAGCAATCCAAATGATGAGCATTTACCCACGTTAGTTTCCTTATTCGATCTTGAATGGATAGGTCTTTCTCTTCGTCGTTGGTAAATGATGGACAGAACAACCATCTGCAACAAACAAGCCTATATCCAAAAACACATCTTACAATAATTGTTTCTTAAGCTAATGTTAACATCAAATACAAATTTTTTTTAAAGTAACTACACTAGTTGATATTGTGGTTTATTATTAAACTTCCCTTTGAGAACCAGAATCGGGAGTCATAGTGAGGAGACTATCAAACTAGTTCAATGATGAACTGAATCACTCACCCCTGATATCTTGTCGTGCAGGAAAAACACTAGTATTACAGAGGATCCCTATTCTGCTCATAAAAAAAGCATGCACAGCGGCAGAGCACGTATCCTACAGGGAAACCCCATACTACAGAGAACTCCCATTCTGTTGATAAAAAAAAGCGTGCACAGCTGAAAAGCGCGTACCGTGCAGGGGGAACACCATATTACAGGAAACCCCCATGCTGTATTGTACAAATAAGCTTGGGGCTAGTATAAATAAGCCTGCACAGTGGAAGCCAGTCCCGCTTTTTTTTTCAGATTACGTTCTGTATGATCAGGTGGTGTTATTGGAGCGCGCTTCGTTTTACTTTAAGTGAATAGAACCCGGCTTTAAACTTTTAATTATAGACAAAAGTAAATGAGCTTTTCGCTGTTTCGTGTGGAAATAACAAATCAACGCGAGGCCATTCTCTGGCATTATCGCCAATGTCGTCATTCTCCAGCGATTTTCGTGGTTTTTCCGGAACTCTCCTACGCAACAATCTATACCCTAATATCTAGCCATAGTTCCATCCACATAGGTCAATGATTAAAAACTCAGATATAGAACGAAAGGCGAATGTACGATATCGTCATAAATAATGCTCCTAGGCCACAGATAGTCATGTGGAAAACAATAAAATCAAATTCGAAACAGTCAAACGTAATCCTGAAAGCTTTGCCTGTGCAAAACAAATAAGACATTTGAACACTTCCTACGCAACAACATTAGCTCTGAGACTGAGCCTTTCCTCTTTCAAGAAACAACGTTCAATGAGGCTCGTCGAAAAATTTCCAACCTTAATAACAGCACCAGAAAGGACTGTTTTGATACGACGACCAAAATCATCAAAATTTTGAAGAAAGTCATAACTTATCCTCTCACCAAAGTTATTAATATGTACATTGCTCAAAACATTTTTTCCAGTGTAGCGGAGTAAGAGCAGCGGTCATACCCATCTTCAAAAGCACTGCCCATTTTGTCTAAAATATATAAATCAGTTTGTGGCGGAATGTCTGGAGGCTAGTCCTGACTCATATGCATCCTTCAATGATCCTTTAAAGGCTTTGATTGTATGTCACATGACGATAATTTGGACAGCAAAGTTTGGTTTGGACCGCACTCAATTTTTCTCCTTACATGGATTGTAAGTATTAATGCTCAAATGTTGAGGCTGTAAATCATGGTGGGTACCCGACACAGAACGGTATTGGAGCCGCTGCTCTTCTTAACTTACATTAATGACCTTTACGACATTAAAGAGGATTTAAAGTTGATACTGTTTGCCGATAATACAACTAACATCATAACTTTAGTCATGTCATGTCACTGACCTAATCGTTTTGCTGTTGGGATTAGGTTTGGAAAAGATTGCAAAGTGGCTGGAATTGTATGAGGGACAAATCCATGCAGGGGATTGATGTGGGTAGAATACCTACTCATATACATCAGAATTGATGGCAATTGAGTCGGGTGTTCCTAGCCAGAGAGCGGGAGTCTGACTCTGCAGCTGGACCTACAGCTTGCTATCGTCCGCCAAATTTATGACGGCATGTGTGCATGTATGTGTTGAATACATACCATATTGACCATGACGAACTATCAAGAATTTAGGCCTCAAAGGAAACCAAATGAAATAGAAACGATCGGAAAATAGCGATTTCCATGTTAAACGAATGGTGAAATGGCGATTCGACAAAAATATTTGTTTTTGCTGCGTTGTCGCACTAACGTTATAATTTTAAAATAAGAGGCACTTGCTCTATGCTGCATCTGCCCCATTCCCGCTAACTAATTGGCTGTTAGAACAACTACTGGTTGGCAAATACTAGATCCTGGTGATAAGATTGCGAAGACCCCCGCAAGTGGTTTTAAATGAAACGTGACGCGTTGATAGAGCCAGCATTACTAGTACATATCATAATGAGATTAACTCTAACTAGTTATAACCAAGGCTATAAATGTGACAATAAATTAATGCTACTCACGTGTATAAAGTAACCATGCTATGCTTTTCAAATAAACCTTCCAGGTCTGTTTTAACTTCTGGATCGACTTCTGCATAAACCGCGTGGGAGTTAATTCGTCCATTGTACCAATTGTAGTATTTCTGGGCCATCTCAGCCAGTTCGTCGATCGGTTTGGACTCCATTTCATTTAGAAGCTTTGAGGTGAAAACTTGGATGCATTTTATAAAATCTTTACGGATGTCGTCACCGAGAAATCCATATTGGCCCAGAAACTCCGCCATTAGCTTATCTGCATCCGGATTAGTCTGCCTTACATTAGCGTACTTATCGGGTTTCCCAGATTCTGGAAAGAAAACTTTTTCTATAATCACTATGTAATTTACTAGTTGATGTCGCCATACCTTTAGCACTGGACGTTTTCCTAAACACTGGCAAACTTTTCAAATATTTCGTCTTCTTATCTGTTTGCTGCTTTTTCTTTTCTTCAAACTTTGTGAATCCTGATACTGGGCTTTTTGAGGATTCACCCAGGTGCACGCCAGGATGAGCTGAATGACGAGACTTTTTCTGCCTCTCCTGTTCCATTTGATTGTGGCTGTAGAAGTAGCATTTTGAACAGTATCCTTTAAAACAAAAGTAATTTTGGAAATTACTAAGAGAAATATAGAGAGCAAATAAAAATAGCAAATATTACTTTTACGGAATATATTATTTTAAATGTATGTTTTGTTTTAACTATAATATAGTTGAAACATTTGCTTCTCTAAATAATAATGTTAAACCTGACTTAAGGACGAGAATTTAAGTACTGGAAGTTTATATTTTATAATACTCCACGCCTGCTACGCTTTAAAAATCTGTATATTGTTAAATATACAGATTTAACCTGTATATTTAACCTTTTAGTGCAAATACAAAATAACGTAATATTTAATTATTAAACTGCTTTTTCGAGCAGTTTAATTCAGATTGCATCCAGACATAGATGGAAATGATATGAAAACAAATGATATACTTAACAGAAAAATCATTTACAGTACAGGATTATTTGTATTCAATATTATCAGATTCCTGACCTCTAAAAACTGAGTAAACACTTGATTATTTTCATTCATATGTAGGAAACGTTTCAAAATATCTAAACGTTCATTGAGAGAGTGCTATTCAATAAAGCGTTTCAATCACTTGTTTTAAATAAAATTCAATAAAGTGTCTCAGGCACTTGTTTTAAATGAAATTCACTTAGAAAATCAGCTAAACATATAAAAGCAAAACTTTATATATACATTAATGTCTCTAAACAGTTGTAAATATTGAAGGCTATCGAAGTGGCTCAAGAAATGTGTTTCCGTTATTTGATTTCACTCCGAATTCGCACCTTTAAAGATATAGAAGCAAAAATAAAACAAAGTTGAGGTTTGAATTAACATAATTCTCGAAAACGATTGAAAATATTGAAATAATCACAGTGACGTGTTGCTAAGTAGCTTCACCTAACTAGACCTTATCAGAAATGCGTAACTTCTTAAGTCATAGCCGCTGAATTAAAAAATATCTTAAATATTTTCACAGATTTCTGAAAGAAAGACGGAACTTTTCACGACGTTTCTCAGTTTATGCTTAAAATATTTTAAATATTTTTTGCTATTACTGATAATAGTGCAAATATTATGCTGTCTGGAAAGATTTTTGGTGAATTTTTTTGACTAGTAGCCCGGTATAAGCTGCAACGCCGATGATTAACTGAAGTAGGTGAAAATGTTTAATACTGAGGATGCTCAGAGTTCCCGAAGTTTAGAGTGTATATCTCGGAAAAGGACATTTAAACAATTATTGGCTTAAGTCAGAATAGCATTTTTCTAGTTATTTATTTCATTGGAAATTCGTAAGCAAATTACCATTTATTGCCTTTAATAGTAGTTTAACAATTAAATACAAAATGCAATTTATTTTTTTCACAAAAATTATCTGCAAATATGAACACTTTCGAATTATCTAAAAACATTTCCTAAATCGGAGTGGTATTTCTCGATTTTTAACCCTAATTGACTCCTTGCAAGTGCTGCAAAGATTTCAATATTATTTATAACATACCAATATCTTTTTAACACGGTGAGAACTATATAGTAAATCATCTAAGAAAAATAGATAAGTTATAATAGTCTTTGCATACCGAATTTAAAGGATTTTTCTGGTTGCCCTATTGCTATTTAAATTCAAGTTATGGCGTTAAAATTTAATTTTTGTATCAATAAATAATTGATTATTGAAAACAGATATTATAAATATTTTAAAGATATTTTATAAACTTATATTATCCAAATTTTAGATAGTAAATTGGTGGCCTCTTTTAGTAAGTACATGCAATGTACTCTTCATGTAGTAAATGCTAAAATACGCATAATTTAATAACGCATAAGTTATTCCAACTTATGGCGCTTGAAACTATATACGAATAACTTCTTAATATATAAACATACTTGCACATTTAAAATTACTTAAATAAACGGGGGGAAATGTTTCACATGCTAAGTAATATGTAAGATACGAGCCCTTTGAAAGCAGCATGACTTAATACCATAAAAACACAATAATAAAAAAATACATGAATCTACGTGTTATACATGTAACCAGAAATATATATCTGTAAACCAACAAATCCTATTGAAATTACACTTTTGCCCGTATGTGAACAATATAATAAAACAAGCACAAACAACAAAATGAAACGGATTCAAATTACTGCACTAAACTATCAAATTTTAAATTGGCTAATCTAAATTCAAATAATATTATCAATAGTAGACAACCCGTCTTTGTTTTCGGTTTTCATTCAAATTCCTTGTGAATGATATTAGAAGTGCAGATGCAGAATATCATCTAACATTAACAATTTAAATATCAGAATTTGTTCCATATAAAAAAGCTGTAAACTACAAATATTTAATATATCATTGCGTATATCAATGTCTTTATTCTGTTATCAGTATTAAAGCTTCAAGCAAAGGTTATCTATCTATTGACATTCTCATGTATGCACTATAGTTGCACTACGTTAATCAGGTCAAAGAGTGTTTAAATTCGAAAGCAGCTGCATGCAAAACTTATTTGATGATCAATTTCAAATATTAATATACATGATCATACATCCAATTTTAGAATATATCAAAATTGAGAAATGTTATTGCCGAAAGTATGGAAGCCTAAACTAAGATTTCAAACGCGTTTGCTTTACTTTAAAGCACCTCGAACTCTAAAAATATAATAGAATTATTAGTTAAATTATGACAAATCGCACACACTCGTATTTTTTTTAATTTCATACAAAATGTTCCAACTTCATATTGCAGACCGAACTTGAACTTGTCTTGCTTACTTAAATAGTCTATTTTTATTCGATTATAATTAAATAAGATTATTAGAGAATTTTTAAAAAGTAAGCTTGAGCTGTTACTTCAAACTAAATAACACTGTTCAAAAAATAAATTTTAGAGTAACCAAATATGGTCGTTTAGAAATAATTTTGCATTAAACTTTTTGTCTCAAATTTAAAGAAGAGAAATTAGAAAATATGGAAATAAAGGAGGTTGATGGAACGGATCGAACAACTAGCATATAATTCAAATATAGAAAAAAGAGGGAATTTCTCCTCCAAACATATACATTTGATCTGCAACCCAAAATTCAGACACCCTGAATCAACAAAAATGATTTGAAAAAATATGATTTAAAAAACAAGGAACTACAACAAGCGAAACAAACGGAAAAGTGTAACCAAAATTAAATCAGTAGCTATTGTATAAAAAAAACAATTGAGAAGAAAAGTATGTGGAAAAATCGACGAATTAAAAGTTAAACATACAAAACTTGTCATTCAATACTTTAAAGCTATTACTTTGGAAGCAATTGGTCCTGAAAACAGAAGAAACTGTCCTGATAAACCTGACTAAAATTTGGTAAATAATTTTTCTAGAAAAATGAGTAACAAAAAATTACTTCAAATGTAAGGGTTTTATCTTGGGTATCATATAAAATAATGCAAATAAAAAAAACAATTTATTAGATACATTTTCCACCAGCCGCTGTTGTGTTCTTAAGTGTGGCAAGACTGATATGAATTAAAAATGTGATTGCCCTCCTATTACTTGCGTAATGTAAGACCCGGTTGTACAATGGGAGCTCAAGCTTGGGTTAAACTTAAGTCAACCTAAACATGAACTCGAACCGAACTAAGCAGTCGAGAGATCTGAATTAAGATATACGAGGATGGTGTGAAAAGTCCGTGCAAAGTCAGCGAGCCACCAGCAAAATCACTGGTGCCTATAGAAGTTATTTTCAGTTAGGAGCATCACCAAGTTTCAGCCAGATCGGTTTATTCTGTATGTTTGACGTTCGTTGAAACAAAGAAGACGAGAGATTTTCAAAATATGGACGAGAAAGAGTTTCGCGTACTGATTAAACATTACTTTATAAAAGGCAAATCGCTTCAAGAGACTAAAGAGAAGCTTGATATACATTACGGTGACTCTGCACCTTCAATTAGAACAGTTTATAGAGGTTTCAACATTTTCGGAGTGACAATATGGACGCAAGTGACGCTGGGCGTTCTTTAAGGGACTTTGAGCGCCGTTTTGTGACTGTGGATGAAACATGGATACACCACTACACTCCAAACAAAAAAGGCAAATACAGTTCCTTCGGCAGAGAAGGTTATGGCAATGTATTTTAGGATTCCCAAGGAGTAATCTTTATTTATTATATGGAAAAGGGTAAAACTATTACAGGTGCATACTATTCATCGTAATTGGACCGTTTGCAAACCAAGCTGCAAGAGAAACGTGGACGATAGGCCCAGAAAAAAGTCCTTCTCCATCACGATAACGCACCAGCTCACACCTCAACAGTTGTGACCGCAAAGTTGATGGAAGTAGGGTACCAACTCATCCGCATCACACCTATTCTCCAGATTTGGCTCCCTCACACTATTACTTGTTCCACAATTTGAAAAAATTGCTGACGGGAAAAATATTTTACTCAAACGAGGTGATTGCAGAAACCAATGCCCATTTTACAGACTTGGACAAATCCTATTATTCGGAAGGGATCGATAAACTAGAACATCGTTGGACGAAGTGTATTTGTCTAAAAAGTGATTATGTTGAAAAGTAAAAATTGATCTATCCTACAAAATTAAGTCGTTTTTATTTTTGTCGTATTTATGTATATATTTACGTCTGTCTATAATTTGCCAATTTTATCAATTTTCTTAAAATACTACTACTTGTTATCAAATCAAACACGTTAATCATGAAAACGTGCTTAAGATTTATTTGATCAAATATCTCGTCTACACTGCGAATAAGAGAAACTATTTTGCTTTTAAAAGTGATTGTAAATGTAAACACTTATTTTATTTGCTCGCATTTTATTGCTAGACACGAGCATTTGAAACAAAAAGTAAACCTTTGTTTAATTAATTTAGAAAATTCAATGCTGTTTAATGTTCCCTGTTTATGTAGATTTTTATATTTCAAAATGAAATATTTTTTTAAATTTTAATAAAATATGTTTCTAGCTGAATGCTTATATAGCAAAGAATAGATATAAGTATTTGAAATTAAAAAAAAGGAATATTAATATTAATTTTTCTCCCAAAGATATCTAGAGAAAAAGTGATGATACTACAACCCAGATGTGCGCTCAAAATAAGCTTGAACTTACTGGATAAAAGAACTATAAATCAGCTGAATTAATTATCTCAAGTTCAAAGGTTTTATACGGCGTTTACTTAAGAGTTATATCCTAAATCTCTTAAAGCTCTAGATAGAGAAACCATGCAGTAAACAATCAGACAGCAAAGTGAAGAGGCTAAAAATCCTTACCATTCCAGTCTGCATTCCCATAAAACCCACATCCAGTTTTGCACTTTAGATCAGCTTGCTTGATCCTCAAAGATGGTTGCTTAGTGGCATACATTATGTACTTATAAGATCTCTGCAAGGGCAAAATAGACATGTTGAAAGTAAATTTGCTTCACTTAATAAATTATTTCTAAGTCTTTTCAAACCCTGCTCCAGAAATAGAGCTCAAACACAGAACAATTAGGTACACAATCCCGTGAACCAAAAAAATAAAATTGAACGTTTCTAGGTAGCTCACAATACTACCACGGAGGCACGAAAATTGGATCGTGAGCGCAAAAGTTCAATTCTTTCATCAACAAATGCACAATTGTGAATTGAGAATATTTTAACAAAGATGACCCTTTAACAGCACAATCATTTTGAGAACTCAAAGTCGTATACGCTAAAGAACACACTTCACACTCGCCAGGATCAGCCATTTGCATCAGACGATAATTTGAAACCTACTGGCCGAAGAAATATATTTTTTTGTATTTATATTTAGTTCTTAACACAATAAATCACGTTAATCCTAACCGTCCTTGCGCTTAATGCTGACTAAACACTATTAGGAGCAAATAATTTCAAGATCACCAGTACCAAATTTCAACTGAAGTTTTCTGAGTTAATACTAATTTGGATTTTATCTATTTGAACAGAAAATTGTATACGGTGGATAAGCAAATTAACGATATAGTGTATTCAACTTGAGATACGAATGTGTGCTTCTAAATGCTTTGTTATTTAATCATCAACAAAATTAGCTTCCTTAATTTGTCCTCACACTCTACATTGCGGCTTTCACCATTATTGGTTATTAAAACTATGACTACTAATAATAATTACCATCATTAGACGGTCAATCGAAAATAAGTTCTCATCATCACTTTAGTAAAAATACAAGTCTAAAATCTTCATAAGACGTCCAAAACTTAATATTAGTGGCTCGCTCTATAAAATGAATAATAGTAATTATACCAGAATATTCCCACCATTATCCGAGCAATTGTGTCGTTTCAACGATTAAAAATTTAAATTAAAAATTTGTAACTAATTGCGACTTTAACAATCTTGTTCAACCTTTGTCGTGAATAAACAAATTACATACCGTTTCCAATTATACGATATTTAATAGTATTTGTTTAAATAGAGCTCCCACGATAACAAATTTAATGATAAGAATCGCATTGACATTCTCTCTAGACAAGGAAGTAAACACAAAGAAACCAATGGATAAATCACATTCTTAGCGCAAGATAATTAGGATTTGGTCTATTTAGCTTTTCATATACTAAAAAAAAATACTAAGCGATGTGATATGATGTAATACATACATGTAAATTGGCGTCATTTCTTTTAAGGGGTTATAGGGGCTCACTTGGAGGGTACCAGAAAAATTTTGAAAAAAACCTCCAAAATTTCTCAAAGATATTAACAGTTGAAAATCGAATTTCAACTTTGTGATTAAGTATTATTTTGAAATGGTCCAATGTTTGGTGGTAGCTTATTGGCATACTTTTCGAAAAGAAAAATTACAATCTTTGCTTCAAATTACAAAAATGTTTGATATTAAAAAGTACTTTCTGGCATTCTGCAATGGCCTAAAATAATATCGTAGCTGATTTGCAGACTACGGAGTCAGTGTTTGTCAGGCCAAATTTATGTGAGCATTGTCGCCCACGACGAGCTCATATATCGCCCAATCCTCCCGATCCCTATTATCTTTACGACAATTTCAAAGAGTATTTTTGGTAATTTATGAAACAAATGTTTGCATCACCAAATTTTTTAATTAAATACTGTAATATAAAAACAAACATTTAAAAAAATTATAAGCAACCTCTAAAAACATAATGATTTCTCTTTAGACGAGGAAGTGAGTTTAAACATGACTAGGAAGTAAAATAGTTCAGGTCTTTAAAGAAATAAAATTAAAATAAGTGGACATAAGTAATATTGACTTTATTCGACAAGAAAAGGCAGCGTAACAAATGCGATTATTAATGGTTCCTAAATCAAATTCTAAATTACTTTGAGAAATAGCATATTTGAAAATATTTCGTTGCAAATCTCCAAAACTTCCACAGTGACAAAACGCCAAACAATATCAACATTATCAAACTTAAAAGGTGACTTGCAGGTTTATATGCACCTTATACTTTTATAAAATATATTATTAATATTCGACAAGCAAATGAAAATAATAATTTACCGTTCTGAAAATGAATATAAAATTTGGTTTCTGTGTTCCGGTGACCGGCGTCATCAACTTTCGCGCGATATTACTATTAATGCGCCGGAAAAGGGTCGACACTTCTTTTGAGTTATCTCCTGAAATGATGTTAAGGGTCGGTGTCCGGACACCGTCAAAGGGAAAAACATAACCGCCATCCAATGCGGCTAGTTGCCAAAAATGATATCAGATAACGATTTTTCCTCTAGCAAAACAGATATTAACGGTGAAAACCCTTATTAACCGTTGAGAAAATCAACCAATAGGGTATCACAAAATTACTGGTGATTTTACTATAAAAATGATGTCCAATATTCAATCTTACAAGTAGCACTTTAGAAGTAATAGATTGAGCATTAATTTCTGCTGTCTTAATGAGAGTTGTACAGTTGGCGACACATAAAAGTAGAATATTAATGCCCGTATGCACCGACAGAATTTAATCGCGATTAAGCCTTAAACCGGATTACTTCTTATTATAATTATATATTATATAAAATTATAAACAGTATGCACCGTAGACAGTTTTTACCTTAAACGAGTTTAACTTTAATCGATCCAGTTCCGAGGATTAAGTTCTTAAACTAGTTTAAATACATAACATAATCTTTGAAATTGACGGTTTTGTTTTCGTCCTAGCAAGTTGGAGAATTAACTTGGAAGACGAAGTAATATTAGTTGATATTAATATTTTATAATTAATAATTAATAATATGAAAGAGTTATCGGAGCGTGCTCTATTTTGTGAGGTGTAAAATGAAGTATTTCGAAATCGGAAGACATATTTTTCAATAAATACTTAACGCGTTAAAAATTATGGACATCTTTGCTGATTGGCTTTGCACTACTCACCATTCAACAATTTTGAATAGTTGCAGATTGAAGGCTACATTAGAAAACAGCGAATTTAGTAATGGTGTCTTGCTTGGTCACTATGAGAACTTATACAACTGAATATTAATTCAAGTCAAGAAAGGGCCTTGTACTTTTATAAAATCGTTTCAGCACGCTCCAGTCTCTATACCAGCAACTCTGTGAATTTAAATTAAATGATAATAATTTCCATAATCCAGAAGGTTGAATTAAATTAGAAACAAGATTAGTTTTAAGAAGTTAGTGATGACCAAATGTACCAGTGTGGAACATGTGTCCACCTTAGAATTACACAATAAATTACGGGCAGAATACACAGTGGCTATTTTTAATCCCTTACAGATGAGTCTAGTAACGAGGGAAAACGTTAGAGCGCTATTACCTACGCTGATAACATATAAAGATAAGTTTTGTTTTGCACACCTGGAAAAACATATAAAAACCGTCCTTATACCATGTTTACTAACGGACTATGTTTTTCCTTGATATTATTTCAACCCTTTAAAAAGACGTTCGGTTGTCTGTACTTATATAAACTAATAAATATTTCTGTTTTCTATGAAAAAAGTTCTAAATGTTATAAATATGTCACTACACTATATTACAATTTTCGAGTATAATTCGAAGAACAAAGTAATATTTAACTGCCAAACTTAATAAAATAAAATTTACCTATTAGCTGATGATGCGATGGGGGGATGGGCTGACAATAACTATAACTAAATGTTTATTTTAAATTGTTCCCAAATCACAATATTTACTATAATTAATATAGGTTATGTTTGTTGTTTGACGGGGATGTCACAGATTTAGATAGCACCACATAGCCAACTGCAGCAGCGAAGAATATTCTGTATATTTACTGCCCTGTTGCCAGATAGTGAGTTTATAGCTTTTTAAGACAAATTGAACACCTTTTCGTTTTTCTTAAATTGAAAATAACTTTTACCTGTTCAATTAAAACAAATGTTAATTGTTCAATAAAAATGAAAAAGTAAATTACAATGTAGAGTTGATTGCAGGAGAAGTATATTAATATAGAACATAATTTTAAGGTTTGCAACACTGACTTTTTGCGGTAAAATGAAAAATATGTCAAAGTGTGCACATCAAAAAGTTACAATACAAATCCGAATATTATTAAAACGATTTTATTTAAATAATTGAAGCAATGACGTCGAAAAAGACCTCGGCCAGTCCAGAGTCAGGCGAGGCTCCAGAAGAGTACGTCGTGGAAAAGATCATAGACTGTAGAATTAAGAACGGAGTAAAAGAATACTTACTCAAGTGGATAGGTTATGACGACAAGGACAATACTTGGGAACCAGAAAGTAAGATAATCAGTTATATAAAAAACTGCTAACTTTAAATTGTTGAAAACATCCCTAAAAGAAATTGGTCGTTAAAATGACGGTTTTGTTCCGAATATCAAAGATATCTAAGCACAGTTGGAAACTTGATAGACACGCACTCAGATCCTCAGAAATGTTCAACGATTTGTCATTTACCAGTAAAATATACCGAAAGTGACTCCAATCCTTCAATTTTTCAATTGGTTTATCGGAGTCAACTTCATAACTTTTTAGCGCTGACCAATTTCCACTTCATTCGCTGATTAGAAATGAAAATATTAAATTAATTTATTTAGCTCTGGATAGCAAATCCAAAATTTACGATTAAAACTAGATGCACTAAGGTAGTTGCTATTGTTTAAACACGTCATTAACAGGCTATTAAAAAGCCTATTGAAGGTATTAAGTACTTAACATGCAGCTGGCCCGAAATCAGGTTCCACCATAATCTCAATTGAATATTTTACGACGAAAGACGAAAAAAACAGTTCATATCAATGATATAGAAGATCCGCAAACGTATTATTGAATTACTTTTTCTTCTGCAGCTCTTAGTGCTTATAAGATATCGTCCGTATTTCCTTTGTTTTATTTCATGTTGTAATTGTTGTAATGCATATGAAAAAGTGCATGCATGCAAGCGAAACATGCCTAAATAATGCTAATGATTTCTACCAAGTCCTGTTTGAGGCATGCCAGCAACAAAAAAATCTAAAAGCTCGTCTTTATGATATGCTGGGGAAAGATATTTGGGAGTATAATTAACTCACTACCCAACACCCCAACTCATTTTTTTTAAATAACACCCGTTATGAATGCGAGATATAATAGGAAATCATTTTCAATAAGTTGTTCAATAATTCTAAGGTTTCGTGAATTCCGACCTCAAAAAAATTCGATAATACCTTAAATACGAAAATTTATTACTAAACACCTTGGCGTAGAACTCAATCTTGGGTAACTAAGTCGGTTAAAGTCCACTATAATTTATTTTCAAAACGATGATACTTGATTATGATTATAAGATAAAATAACCGAAACGCGTCGTTTTGAAAATAAATTACAGTGGACTTTAACCGACTTCTTATTTACCCAACAAGAAACCGTTTAATTTAAATTATGGAATCAAATAAAATCAAGATATGAAAGAGATTGTTTAGAAGAGATTCTGCTAAGCAAAATATGAAAAAAAACTTCAAACGAATATGCGTATGCGTCCAAAAATACTTCGTTTCCTAGATACTTACAGTGTCTCCAAAGTTACAATTTTATCTCGTTGTTTTTAAATTAATCTGAAAGTATCCCAGTTACTTGGTCTCTAAACTCGTCTTAACTCTATTATAAGTAAAAGAAAAACGACAACGATATTTCTATCTCGTTTGTCTGTGAATAACTGAACTTTATTAGTTTATTTGAGTAATTAGTAAATTAACATTTGAAAACATGTATTTTGTGCCTACTATTTCCACAGAGAGAAGCAAAGTTTGCTTACTTTGTTTCTTTCATGTATTGCAGAAAACGTTTAATAGATCAACCTCCAACATCTAAACACCTATCCAATATTTTCCTTATTCATGTAATTGAAGACTTACGTAACATGGCAAAATCTGGTAATTTAGGTAGTAATACCTACCTATTCACGGTTGCAGGTCTATTTTCATCTTTGCTGAATTAATCGTGCAAAATACTTTTGTATTTTACACGATATTATATACGCTTATCTCTTATATTTGCAATTCTTACATTCCGTTTTGTTACTTTACTTAGTCGACTTATTGTATTCTTGTTGGTGATTCTGTGGCGAACAATATGATTTCTCAGTATCGTTAAACTCAAAAATTTGATAGTTAAATAGACACTCGCGGCCCGCTTTAATATAAAAGACTTGAGACTGTTATTTAAAAGATATGTAATAAATACACATGCTAACAATTACTTTTCAATAGCTTATTAGATAGATTATATGAGTCTGACAAAAAACTATTTTAATTATAAACAACGACATATTGTACAGTCCAAAATGAACAATGTTCATTATGGAAATAATTTAACATTATAAGAAACAACATACATTACTCCACCTGATGAGTACAAAACTTAAATAGAGCATTGTTAAATTCAAGGACAGTATTCGCAACTATTAAGTAGAAATAAATTAATTAAAGATACAAGCAGTAAAATGAACATAGTAGCCACATATTATTTTCGCTACTAATTTCCAATTTTTTTTCAATAATTCTCTCAATAGGCAATTTAGACTGTCCCAGCTTGATTAAGACATTTGAAGCTGATAGAGCTGTGAAAGAAGCTGAGAAGAACAAAAAGCGAAAAACATCTGGTACGCTTATCTCCGATACAAAACTGAGCAAAAAGAATAAAAGTGACGATAAAAAGCTTCATGGATTTGATAGAGGTTTGCAACCGGAGAAAATAATTGGAGCCACAAACAGTTCAGGTTAGGGTTCCTCTATAATACAATATAAACAGTCTTATAAAAGGCATCTAACATTATTTTGAAGGTCCGTTATTGTTCCTAATGAAATGGGTAGGAACGGATGAAGCAGATTTAGTTCCTGCTACGCAAGCCAATGTAAAATGTCCACAAGTTGTGATAAAATTTTACGAAGAAAGACTGTCTTGGACTTCACCAAATGCAGTTACCGATATAGCAGATAAATAGCTACCTTTAAATTAAGGACAATTATTGCAATATAGTAATACATGATCAGCGCTTAATTTATTAATGAAATTTGCTGATTTCGATAATAGCCATGACTAAAGTGTTCACATACAGAAACATTAAATGCTCGAATTGTCTTGAAATAATATTGTTATTAATATTTCACTGAGCATATTTGCAGGAAACATAGAATTACTTAATTTGTATTTAATAATGATCTTCAAACAATGCAAACATATTTAATTTTATTAACGACGGAACAATTTTCAAAGTGAGGAATCTCAAAATAGATTAGTATTTGTATTCCAATAAATAATTACTTTTATAGTATATTATTGTTTAATTCCTGTATTTTTACCGTAATAACGTTATCAACGTCCAAAAAGGTTGAGTCATTTTAGGCTTAGCACATTTTGGAGCGGAATAGAAACGTGATATGAGCCCCACCAATTAGCATGCATGACTGTGGCTTATTTATGACATGTTTTTACAAGTTTATTACATTAGATTTTACCGTAATTTATAATCGCGCAAGCATGGACTTACATACAAGATTGTCAGTATGTGAGACTTATATTGCCTACATTTTGCGCACATCTCGTTTATTATTATTAGGGGTACTGGCTGTGAACTTCCATCATCCAATGCGGATTTTCTGTTGCCCAATATCGACCATTTTCTCATTTTACATTTAAACAGAGCGTAGCTTCATCGGAAAATATAATGCTTTTGTACTAAATTATTATCTAGATTGCACATATGTATTTTGCAAAACGCATTTTGCCAATCCAAATTATCTTCAAGAAACTCGAACGAATAACTTTTTCGGGAAACCATATATAAATTGGCTGAAATCTGAGAAAGAGAATCATGGAAGTTCTTTAAATTGAGCTTCTAAGCCTGATTCACACTATCAGACACCTAACGGACTGGCAAAGACACGACAACACATTCTTATTCGATAAGTAAATGGAGGTGTTCACCTTAACCGGTAACGACACTACAGACAACGACGAAGCCGACCGACATTCTAGGCCATAGATGAAGACAAGTAGAGGCACTACTTGTCTTCATCTATTGTCTGGGTGTCTGATAGTTTGAATCAGGGGAATCATAGACGACATGTAACCGGTATCGATGGGTTTTTTGATTCGTTGTTTCTGGTTATTTATTGGGCCATAAGAAAACTAGAACCTAAATTTTAAATTAAATAGCTTTACATTTATGCAATTAATAATAATTATAGTGGTTGTATATAGGTATTATCTCGTATAACGCACAAGCACGACACGACAGAACATTTCCGGTTAATAAGAACACCACCGATTACTTATCTGATTAATCAATTAAGCTGCTTCTATTTGGGTATGTGTTCTGTCACCAAACCCAACAATGCAGAAAATTTCAACTTTTCTCGTTCCGTTATCTTCGCAATTTTGTTGTTTTGGTATATTATTGTTTGCCTCGTAAATTGCTCGAGTCCTGTTGAGTTTAGGCATAGGACATGGTACCTGAATCATACCTCGAACTCAATGTAGAACTCAAAATTGAAATAAAAAATAAGTGCTGGATTTGAAAAAAATAAGTTGATGGTCCTAATTTATTTTCGAATCACTCTGTATAAATAAGTTTACCTTAAAAACCGCATTTAAAAATAAAAATTTATCGGTTCGAGGTTTTTTCGAAAAAAAACACGGAATTTACATAGATATACACAGATTTAATAGTGTCTGCTAAATCTTAAGATTTTTCTGTGGGTTTCCGACATGTAGAAGTTTATATATTTATAAAACTTTCTAAGTTGTATCTAGCAAAGTATCACGTCAAAGTCACCATTTATCAACCTTGACCATTTATGACCAAATATGACGTGTTAATCACGCGATCTGACGTCAATGTGCTAGCTCGGACCCAAAGACTCTGCCAAAGACATTCAAGTTCATCAAGGCTTGATGTGATATTACTAGTCAAACGTGTTAGGAAACAAGCAAAAACTTTTGAAAAATTCCACAGTTTACTTTCAATCACTTTTGATTTTTAAATTATCGATAATCACTGTCGATATGCGCACAGCTTACTTAGTTCATTGCTTACTTGCTGGTGCTGGTTCTGGTTACTTGTTTTATTTTTTAAAGGTTATAATTGTTTGTTAATAGTTTATCAGAATATTGCAATCATTTTGACCTTTTCTTTATAAATTAGGCTTGCTAAGAAAACAGTTCATAGTGCAGACCGTTCGTGGTTACCCCCCATAGAGTGACTATTATACTTATGCTAAAAGAATTCTTACCGGTTTCAAATGGCATCAACAGGTGGAAATATTGGTAAATAATTCATATTAGTTTTATCATTATTCTCCTGAATGTTTCGTTAGGTCTAGTTTATATTTGTTTACTGTAGTTTATAAGTTTTGCTTATAAAATACCCTATACAGGGTGGTACATCTGACCTAACTTTTTCTAAGAAAAAAATGTCTGGCTCCTCTACTGTTATTGTTAGTTGAAGTTATTACAAAAATATATCTTTTGAAAAATCGGGATAATTTGTTCCTAGATAAGACTCATAATTTCATCAAACAACCGAATGTATCCGCTTTGTGAAAATGAGGAACTCTTGAGTGTCTTGGTACAAAAACTACCAGACCTCTTTATTTGGTAGCTGGGATCAACTGATTTTTTTTTTCATTTGATGCGCTAATCTTTTTTCGACATTTATGCGCTCTTTGTAAAATCTTGTCCAATTTATAGTTTTTGCTCAAAAAAATGTATGTTCTTTTGCCAACTGACAATTTTAGACATTAATTAACTTTTTACATTAACAAAACTTAAAGGAAGGTTTTTGCATTTTCTGGAGAGCGGATGCCTGCTAAACAATTTATCGTTTCAGAAACGTATATTAAAATCCCGAAACGTTTCAGTTACCTAGCACTATATGTTTCAGAAATGTTTATGAAACTGCAAATTTTTGCCCTCAGAAACGTTTCGCTGAAGCATTGCAGAAACGTTTCGTTGAAATGTTACTGAAGCGTTGCGCTAGACGTTATTTAAGCGTTGCAAATATATTAAATTTTGTAACATTATACATGGTGTATCTTTGAAGAGTGCAAATATTTTAATTTGTGCTACATAATGGCCCCAAAAGCAGAACTATAGGATTGCCCTGCTTCGAGGACAAAAATATACCACCAGTTAAAATATTTGTACCCGTCAAAGACTCACTATGTAGTTTCATGATTCTATAACGTTTTCATAAAAATATTTACAAAACATTTTAAGCTAACTTATTTCTAAATGTTTTAAATTTACAATTCACAGGCGCGAAAAGTTGATGAATAAAACTCAAATGGCATATGTATACAGGGTGGCCATTTTCTGAATCTTTGTATGGGTAACTTCTACATTTTTAAAGATAGAGAATCCGTTAAATCGGCAAAATTGGGAAGAATTCGATTGCCTATTCATTACCGTTTTCAAAATTTAGGTACCCGACTTGGTTCCTGAAATATCCTGAAAAGACAAGAAATCAACACTTTTTT